TATAGGTATGGCCAGAATTCAGTGACCACCCAGATTGAGAACCAAACGCTCGCGCTCCATAATGAAATAATCGCGTTCAAGGCGGATGATATAGTCTGGCCACGGCCACGTGGCCATGGTCAGACTATACCATTCGCCTGTACCATTCGCCTGTACCATTCACCAATACAATTCGGAAGTCATGTATGGCACAATTTACTTCTACTTCGTAACGTTGTGGTGATCTTAAAGTGATATTTCAACATTTATCATTCGTGCTTCGCATATCATCAATTCACACTGTACGTGCGATCTGCCTATTTTTTCTTGTTCTACGTAAAATGCTTGCCATTGCTCAATCGTATGAGGTGGGAGAATCGAGAGGTTCTAGGGTCATTACTGTAACCTCGAAGAGGCCAGCTGGTGTGACGAATGCTGTTTTCGGACGGTCACACTGGTCAATTGGATTTTCAAATAACTTGAACACAGGTGTAGCGAAGGAAATGATTTGGCACCTTGGAGACAATCGTCTGTGCGGAGAAGCGGGTAAACAAATTTCAACGTGATGTTGTTCAGGCTCCTGAATCGTATGGAACCATGCTTCATCTTGCTGAGAACATCAGGGGAAGACAAAGCGATACGAAATGGCTCGATGACTTCGTGCGGTAACATGTATTCTATTTGATATCAAGTAACGCCACTCTCCACTGTTGATACGCGGTAAGGACGCTGTCACAATGATACTGGTCTCAGTGTCAACTCCATATGCAGTGTTGTTTGTTCGATATAAAGCCACTTCAGGGAAGTCGGAATACGGTACTTCTGAACTCACTCACAAGGTAAACACCTGATCTCGTCGAGCCGGAGAGATGTGACTGTCAACGGAACCTTCAAATGCATTCTAAGACATGCTATCCAAAGCAGGGAGAGAAGTCAACGCGTCCAGCTCAAGGTATCAGTTGGTTTATATACGGGCACAATGACATCTTCGTCGATAGGCTGAATGTGGCCGAGCGTCTCCTTATGGTGCTAAGTGAGAAGGCACTATTTCGGATTCTAAATGAATATGCCTGTGGTGTCCTGATGAAAAGCCGGGGCAGCGAAAGCAGTGGCGAGAGGTGGCGGCTATCGAAGAGCTCAAATGTTGTGAACAGAACGGTAACGTCACGAAGTGAAGCGCGTTGTCCCACTTATTCGTGAGTTCGTCGAATAAATAACGAATTATTCTGGAAAACCTGCATCATTACACGTTCATTTTCATGGTGGAGTTGACGGTATTTTAGCAGTCAGTCTTATGACTAACGTTCAATTCCATGCTCAGAAATAGCGTTTGTCGTTTCACTTTTTCAAGTCACATTATGTTGGTGTTTCTTGAGGCGTAGGGAAAACTATCTTGTTTCGCCAATATACGCGTTTTTGTAATCCACGCATGATATCTCGTATACGTGAACACTTGAACTGAATGAATTGAAACCTTGCTCTTTACATTGGCCAGCTGGTTTTGGAGCTTGCTGTTATGGACGTGAGCATAGGTTCGCAAAAAACGTGGGGCTCACTTGGACTCACAAACGGAATATATATTGCGGTCAGGGCTGACACGAACTCCGGCTAAAATAAATCACAATTTTTCTCAACGGACCCACTTGGACTCACGCTCACGGAAAAATTACTCCTCCAGCCTCACACAGACTCAACTCACACCTCGACTCATGAGTCATTTTGCTTACTTATAGAAATAAGCAATTTGCAAACTGTGTTTAGAACCAGTAAGAGGGCCTCCCTGATTCCTTCGACTTATGGTATCATTTTGTGAATTTAGCATGAACGAACACTGGCGCAGCTGGTTCTAGATTTTGGTGCACGCTGAAAAACTTCAGGTGGTCGAAATTTCCGGAGCCCTTCGCCATGGTGTCTCTCATAATCATATGGTGGTTTAGAGACGTTAAACCTCACATATCTATCAATCAGACTTCATGGGGAACACCCGACGAAGATGCCAGAAGAACATTCTTCATACACACGCAAATTTTCAAACGAGCACTTTCCGTTAAAGTGCTCGTTTTTCAGAAATTCCTGCGTTGCCGTCGTTGGTTGTGAGCGAAAAATCATCGTCCTTGCGTGAGAGAAGAATGAAGAGAAATGCAAATTAATTATTTAAGAAAAAATACGAGTCTTACTGGGGATCCAACCCGGGTCGTTTGCGTGGCGAGTGGGTGTTCTACCGTTCATCTACGCCTCTGCTTGTGCATACCATGAAAATAACTTTTCTACCTGAAAACGCAGTAAAATTACCTTGCATGCTTTGAAAAAACAAGCGTCTGGCATGCATGCTTTACAATACAACACCAAAAATTGAACTATAAAGCTTGCTACAAGCAAGCTTTATACAAGCAAGCTTTCACTGTTTTTAAACTGTGAAAGGGTCTTTATCGAAGAGTGTAAGGCAGAGAGACACGATCTAACATGATTCGGCGCCTGTTTACGAAAAGTTTTCATGACCCTAGATTGGGAAGGGTTTGCGATCAGAGTTAATAGAGAATATCTTAGTAACCTGCAATTCACTGATGACCGATCAATTTACGGCTCATAATTACAGAACTTAAAGGAAAGCACAAAAGTTGGTCAGAAAGTGATTATTCACAAAACTTAGGTAATGTGCAACAGTCTCGACAGAAAACAGCACTTTCCGATAAGTGGAGAGACGCTGAAAGATGTAAAGGAATATGTCTCTTTAGGACCAGGTATACTTCGTGAAGCCGAACCATGACATGAAATAAATAAAATAATGGAAATGGGGTTTGTGACACGCGGCAAACATTTCCAAATCTTGAATGCTAATCTGCCACTAAGCTTTAAGAGGAAGGTATATAACAGCTGCATCTTGCCAGTACTTACCTACGCAGCATAAAGCTGGAGGCTTACAAAGAGTGTTAAGCTTAAAATGAGGATGACACAGTGAGCGATCGAAAGGAAAATGATAGGTGTAACCTTTAGAGACCAGAAGAGAGCAGAATGGGTCAGGAAACAAACCGGAGAACAGGGTACCATAGTTGAAATCAAGAGAAAGAAACGGACATTGGCTGCGCACGTAGCACGTAGGCAGGATAACCGCTGGTCAATAAGGGTAACTGACTGGATTTCCAGAGAAGGCAAACGCACAAAGGGGAGACAGAGAGTTAGGTGAGGTGACAAGACTAAACTTTTCACAGGTATAACCGGGCACCAGAAAGCACAAGACCTAATAAATTGGCGAATCATGGGAGAGGCATTTGCACTGCAGTGGGCGTAGTCAGGCTAATCATGATTGTTTGTGGTTGTCATTCCTAGTTTTATCGATCAAAGTTTTATAATAGAAAGTTATTGGAACTTGCCAGTCTGCCTGACTTCCGCATTCTATGTTGTCTGTTATTCACGTCTCAGGATCATAGCGGCATGACAGCATCACCGCTCTCTGACGCAGCCTTGCGAAGACAACGAAGATGCATGTGCCCCAACAGTGTGGCCAATCCTCCAGAGTGGGTACGAGCCATGGATTAAAGGATACAAACAAACAAACAAGCAGTGTCACACCTGCTGACCAGCAGATCTTCCTGGCACCCTTATATCTGCTGACCAGCAGATATAGGGGTGCCAGGAAGATCTCGAAGTTGTTGGCCGGGGTGCACCATTCATGAATCGCGAAGACGAATGAAGTGCAAGCAGTTTTTCTGGCGGTGGAAACGAAAAAGTATGGTATGCGTCTTGCTCGTTCCTATCACTGCTATAGCCACTGTCTCCGTTTCTACAGCTCGTTTGTGACGTTTTGAATGTCAATGAAGACTGTGTGTCGGTACTGTAGTGGGAATTGGCCAGATTCTTAGAGGTGTTGCTAGGCAAGGATGGCATCGGCAGGCATGTCCAACTCACCTGCCCTAACGGCCACCAAGTCCGGCACTGGACCAATCAAGGGTACCTGCTGGAGGCAAACTAATTTGCCGAATTAGGTTAGAAAATTGTGAAGAACGCTTCGAAATCTTTTATGTGTATAGGATAAGCTAGCGACCATTCCACTGACTTGGCCATGTTTTTATCATTGTTATCGACAGATTGGCATTCTTGAGGCTTTTCGCCATACCGCTTGCCATAGAACCGGTTGTGGCTTACCTTCTCTTCTTCTGTAAAATAGAGTCGCACTAGCTAACTTCGAGCCAAATTGTAAGTACCATTTGTAGGCTGATATAAGCACTACGTCTAACATTTAATAAATTTTTGTTTTACTGTGCATAATAATATGGTCAATTAAGCTGCGACATTATACTGGTGAAAAAAGCTACGAGGTTCTTGATGCTTGCGGAATGAAATAGGGGACACGATTGGAGGCCTGTATTATCACGGAGGGCAAAATATCTGGCCACGTAAGTAGGGACAGACATATCAATGCAACGACGTGAGAATCAGTGTATTTCTTTTATCTGGGACGGCTCTTTTTTCTCGCAGAGTAGAGTTCGATGTACTCAAAATTGTTAACAATTTATTGAAACAGATTTTGGACAGATTTATTCAAGTGAACGCAGGAGCTTTGTCCACTTATACTATATAGAAAGCTGAGTCCACTCAGCCTGCCATAGGCTTACTCTGCAAAGCTGTTGCGTAGTCCATACTAAATATATCCAATGTCTCATGCTCGCATCCATCCGTTCACGTCTCGCATGCTCAATGTATGCCCCAACTAAGTCTCTTCAATAAATTCTTTCTCCTTGAAAGAAAGGCAATGCCGCCAAGCAGTGTGAAATAACAAGTTTGCATTGTGGGCAGTTCTTGCTTCATGTGTAGAGCTGCTGGATACATCGTGGGGTCGAGACATATTGCGCTATATCGTGGTAGAGGGCAAGCTATCTCTTGTTACATTGTACTATGCCCCTCACATTTGATGTCAACGCAATTAAAGAATCGTTTTATTATGTGACTCACTTCACCGTGAGCATGCAATAAGTTTCAAAAACTGTAGTCAAAATACTATAGAAATCATGCAGGCAAAGATAAAAAACATTGTATTTTATTCCCCCGTAAAGTCAGCGTCCGAAAGGGTTAACCTTAGGTAATGGGGGTGGTGTCGGTGGTGTCGTCTCCTGAACACATACGCCAACTGAAAAATGAGAGCATCATTTGGCGTTAAGGTAAATTACGATCGCTTCATCTGTATGGTACGAGAAGAAGTGAATCACTGAGGTTGTTTTGATAGCTGAAAATAATTTTGCTTACATAACATTGTGGAACATGTGGCAATATTAGTAATGAATATGATATAATTAAATATTTATCGTCTCCTAAAGAATGACGTAAAACTGTAATGCTGCAGAGCAGTCCGTTCCCTTTGAAGCAACTTCACAGGTGTTAGCACGCATTTTGGTTGAGGTTATTCTACGAAATGTCACCGGGCTTACAAAACACCTCTTGGTTTAAAGGTCAAATTAGTTCTTGTAAATAATGACATCATGTATTTTTACGCCTTCAAAAACTACGAAATTGAATTCCTACAATGTATTTTTGGAATTTGACAGAAATTGTACACCACAATTTTTTAAGTATACGCGGTCACGGAATTTAGGAATCGGTGTTTTAGCGCACCCGTGTTGCAATATTTTTACCTAAAGCACTCCCGACGTAAATTATGCGTTTGAATTGTTCTCAAATTTTGGCAGCTAAGAGGTGAATGCAGTATCTCTATTTTGCACGCGCAACACAGCGAAAAACGTGCGCACACATTTCTTTGAGAGGTTGATACAGAAACCTTGAACAGATTTCTAAGCACTTGTATACTCACACAGCACATGCTTATGTGCACCATTTCTCATTCGTGCATTTTGGATAACTTCACGTTTTTAAATATATGAACTAGCGTCACGAAGAAATAGGCACATTGGCGTCCCAGCATGAATACTAAAACTGAATACGTAAGTTACGTTAGCCACTTTGCACGCAGCTTATGTGTACACTACAGCAAACAAACTTGATAACAGATGTCACAATAGAAACCAACTTTGAAGCGCCAAGAAACAAGGACCTGAAAGAAAAGGGAAGCAGGAAAAGCCCCACAAACAAAATCAATTCGATAAGACACCAGACTTATGCAGTATATTACATTCACCCTCCAGCAACTTCACTGAAAGTTGACTTACACACGCGTCACTTTTCTCCTTTATATAAAAAAAAATATTTTTCAGACATTAGAACAAGTAACGAGGAAAATTCTCGAAGTGTTTTTTTATGAAAGGAAAAGGCGATGCGTGTGTAAGCCAACCTTCAATGAGCTTGCTGGAGTGTGACTGTTATTTACTAGCTGTAAACGTATGTGTCCTATCCGATCAACCTGGCGAACATAAATTATTTCATGGACCAGCTGTTGGCATTCTACTTGAATGATTGTCTGCTCTTAGAGCATTTGTACATTGAATGACTCCCCCGCGTGGAAATTGTAATTTGAAAATGCTGCGCACGAGCTCTGTAGCATGGCTTTGAATAAATGAACGTCGTCACGACGTTATTTTTACTCAGTGAATGGCGTAACTTATGGCGGAGTGAATCGAGACCGTTATCATTTCTCATGGAGAAATTCTTTTTGCCGGGTCATATGAACCTTTCGCTATAAAAGTGAACACACGGTGCAAATGGGCTCATGGCGTGAGGATCTGGGAAAAAAGAATAGGCCCAGGGTAAGCACGAGAAACAGGGAATGACATAGTAGTCAGCCACGCATAAAAAGGCCCGTCTTCTGTCAACGGCTGATGATTTTCAGCTCATAGTTCTTAACGGTATGCAAAATATCTTCGAGTTCAGCACTGCACCGACATCAGTTGGTGTTTGGTGCACCGGTGGTACCCGATCGAGACGCCACTCCTCGGAATTCCAAAGAAAGGTTAAGTTCAGCGTCCACGACAATATGGAAACGAAACGCGTGTCATTTTCAGTTGGAGATCACGTTGACGAGTAAAAATTCCCCTTTTCTTCTCTTTTTATGCAGATGAAGACGTGTATGAATGAATCACTGTGTTATATTTTGTGCAATACGACTACTCTAAGTACTTAGAGAATGTCTGCACAGCCGCTTCGTTCTTCTTTTTTGAAGGGGTGTTGCCACCAAATTTTTGTTTCTTTGCGGCAAGCGCTTCCCATTGCTGCACGAAGTATGATGCACGCACTAAGATTCAAGTATTTTAAATATGTACTTTATTCTCGCTTTGTTTATGCTCCGAATTTTCAGTTTCTGGGTGCCAAGTCCGGCTGTCACGTATCAGTGTGAGTGGCTTGGTGACGTGGCCACACAAGACTGTGGCACACGTCGTGCTGGGTATTGTCTGCTCTCCCAAACGCATGATACGCAAGCATCAGCAACAAAGATGCATCAACAGATATTCCGGCTAGCTGCAGCATCAGCAAGCAACGCCGCAACCGATGACTTGACCTTATGTACGTTGCAGAGGTGGTGGAGTTCACTCACGTCGTTACATGATGTCACTGGAACGTTTGTTGGCGTTTATATAGTGCAACTTCAGTGCTAGATACGCAAGCAATGGACTCGACTGGGATAATGAGCATTCAAGTACACTTTGTAAGTGAATTAAAATATATTCTGAGATTTGCTGTGAATTACCCTTCTTTTCGAGTGCCCTTGTCTATAAAGAACTATAGGAGGGCTATTATTGTTTCGACATTTACCATAAACACCCCTTTGAATTTACGGTAGGATGGCATCTAGACCGTTAAGCCCATCCACGTTACCCGTAATTAAAGGTTAATGTGCAAATCTAAAATGTGGGCCTAGGACACAGTTCCACACTGCCCGATATATATTAACTTCTACTGCCGAGGTCATGATTATCAGCATTGAGAAAATTGTTTTGAATTTTCAAGACTGCTGCACAAAATTATAAGCCTAGTTCAGCGTACTTTAGTATAATTTCAGTATTCACATTCGAAACAACTTGTGCAATGATCCCACGATCTTTAATTGTTAATATACAACCTTCGTTCAACAACGCTTTAATGTTTTCATGCAGCGTCATTCCAATATTGAGTTAATGATGGGTTAACTAGTTTTTGTACTGAGAGAAAAAGCATGATGCTGTTCTAACCAAATCGCGTGGGTACACTTCGAGCACTAGTTAGTGGGTTTCAACTCTAATAATGCTATATAAAAATTTAAGCCATTCAAACAAACTAAAGCAATGGACATGCAACAGCTTATGAACAAAATATTTGCACGGTATATATGGCCGGGGTGTGCGGCATAAATTGACCAGCACCACTAAATCACCAATCATTATATCCCGTACAACAGCGTACGCTTTCGCTTTTGTCACATATAGCTTTTTTTATTAAGGGTAATATTTGCAAACTGCAGGTACGCAGAAATGCATGCGTTGCTATTTGTCGCTTCTTGAAGGGCCACTCACCAGGTTTGACAATTTCGAGCTGACAAGCGCAACGCGTAGACGAGGCGTTCATGATCACGTCTGCCAAATTTTCCATCGCTACGCACCGCGGAAATGAGTCAAATTTTCAGATGAAAGCTGCTCGTCCTCCCCTCTGCCGGCGCCCGCGTAGAGAATGAGGGCATAACGTGGGCGTAGAAATGACCCTACGTACATGGCAATGCAGTGACGTTGGTTCTCTACGTAGACGACTCTGCTCTGACGTTGTCAACAGTATACCTCGTGACATGGCAAAAATTATTTAACGAAACATGCGTAGTTTGTGTACTTGTTGCTTTAGGAGTACAATAAAACTTGAAATAAAAAATTGCCCGCAGCTTCCCTCGGGGGAACACTGAGGAGGATGCGGACCATATAATTGGTTAACGGGGTGTTAAAGTGCGACTTACTTGGGTCGATGGCTAAATTGGTTAACGTGGTTGTGAAATGGGGTGTTAAATTGCGACTTAGTTGGGTCGATGGCTAAATTGGTTAACGTGGTTGTAGGAGGGGGTGTTAAATGAGTGAACACGTACACACGTATGCGAAAGGGCAGCGCTGGTCGAAGGGACGTCGATCATTGTGTTTGTGATTCGTTGGAATTCATTTCACCGCGACCTTGGACGTCGACGCGCCGTACAAACCAACCGACGAGCGGCAACTGAGCGAGCGAGCGCCGACCTTGAGTATATATACAGCACGACGGTGCATGCACTGTCAGCTGTTGAATGTTCTCGAAGCACGACGCCACATGCGCGTCCACTGGAGAATCAGGAGAATTGTAGATGTCGAACGCGGTGTGTAGAGGAGGAAGGGTGCACAGATGGTGGAGGAGTGAAGCGCGCGCGGTGTGTAGAGGAGGAAGGAATGCACAGATGGTGGAAGAGTGGGCGACGGCGCGACGGCGCATGCGCGCGCGTCAGCTGTCGAATGTTCGAGAAGCGGTGTGGACGGCGCGGACGGCGCGGACGGCGCACTACAAGGCGCGAGTATAAGATGCTTCCGCATCTAATAATGAGATGCAATAAAAATTGTGCGCGTTTTTCTTTCATTTTTTTTCGTGAAATGCTACGAGATGCGGGGCTGATGTGCCAGCGTTTCACACGCGTCTGGTCCCCACGGTCAGCGCAAGAGCAGACGACCGCCGTGGAACGCTTCTACGCTTTCGCGCACTCATTGTGCTTATCTACTCTACCGCGTCTAAGCCAGCATTTTCAAACAATCCCGCAGAAACAGGCAGAAGAATTCAAAATAATGCTGGTCAACAAAGCAACGCCGCTCTTATGCACGGGGGCTGGGCTTGTTTGGGCCATCATGCGAACGTAACCTCTTGGTCGGATGCCGGAGAGTGCGGGGAAGGGATTTGGCTTGCGAAGGCTACGTGGAGGAGCGCCAAGGGTTCCGAGCTCGCCTCCTTTCACCCTCGTTTCGCGCCGCTTCAAAAAATCTGTTTTCTTCGCTCGTAAAGAACCAATTCGAAAAATTTTTGTGGCAAAACGTTCCTCATTGCACACCCAACAACTTCCACTGTCTAACTAAAATTTGGTATGGGGCCTGGTGAGTGGCCCTTTAATGCGCTATTTTGGTTATAACTTGTTTCCATTTGGAGCTATCCCTCTATTTATTTCAAGGTAACTATGGTGCATTCTATTCTTTATATTACGTTTCCACTAGTTTTGCTTTTTTTCACACGTGAACATCGTCAAAAAAGCTACGTTTATTGTTGCACAAGAGCTCCATGCTGTCAAATACCATGTTCTTAGTGCTCAAATGAACGTACTACTCAATTTACCAGAATACTAAAAAACATAGACAATGAATTTCATCAGCCAAAACGGTTCGTGTCAAAGAACATACTGGTGGGAAGATGAAAAATTCTCTATGCACAAGATCTTGACAACTGTAAAGAACGGAATCCTGAACTCACTTTTGCATTGTTTCATGCAGGCTTCGCAACTAGGGAAGGGCTTAGAATGAAGTGCACAGTGACTGTTGTCGTTTTTTGTGCACAGTCCATAGGGCGAGTAGTAGTGCCAACCCCCATTTTTGCCGCCGCAGCTTGTTGTCAGTCCATGCGACGCGCATGGAGAACTGTCTGTAATTTTATAGAAACAGGTTTTCAGCAATTTTGAGCTTCGCAGACAGCCTGCAGCATCTACATCTGAATACGTCAGTTCAATTTTTGATACTTCTTTAATAAACCCGCGTGCACGCGAGACTGCAGGAGGACAAAAATATCCGCCCAGCCCGAACACTAGAGCTTGCATAACAGAAATCCTGTGTTCCAAAATATATGGATGCTCCTTATCCAACAAAAAACTACAAACTCTGTTTCTCATCTGTGTCCTTTTTGTGACTATATGATAATGATGAGCTGCATTAAAAGTCACCTTTAAAGTGCTTGCCATCAGAATATAAGTATGGTTTTGGTTGGAACATATCCTGGCAAGCTAAAACTTTTTTTATTCGAGAAGATTTCTGGCTTATTCAAGCAAAGTATACAGTGCAGGTTTTTGATCATACCTACATGAATGCCCGAGATCTTAGTGGACCAAAAACTGAGACGTTCTAGCTTTGGCCTAAGAAAAATCATAGGGACACGTTACAATGTTTAGCAATGCGCATAGATTAATTCATTTTACCTATGTATATAGATGCTGCACAACTATGCAAAGGATTAGAATTATTTCTCTAGTTAGGAAGAGATTTTACAGACTTAAGGGAATCTTTACACTTCGGCCATCGCAGATACGTCTGATAAAATTTACACCTTTTTCGCCAGCCCCACGAAGTATTTCCGCCAAACACTCGCTCGAAAAAATTTTATTGCGATGGAAATTATATGGACGCTCACGGCTAGATTTTGATTTTTGACGCCAGCGTCGGCGTGGGCGTCGCCATCATTCGCTTTATATATATATATATATATATATATATATATATATATATATATATATATATATATATATATATATATATATATATATATATATATATATATATATATATATATATATATATATATATATATATATATATATATATATATATATATATATATATACATGAAAACGCAAGGAAGACTAAAAGTCCAGAAAAAGACTCCAGCACGCGAAATCGAACCTCTGACATGTGAATTGTGAGTGCGAAGTGTTAGCCCCTGAGCCACGAAGGAGCACCTCCTTGAACGCTCAAATGCAAGCTATTTATATCTACCACTTACCGCTGGCGATAGGCCTCTCGGGGGAACTACAATCGTGTCTTCAGAATTACCAGCGAGAAGGCGCAATGAGTGCATGTTGCCAGATCGTCACGACGCGGTGGCGCGTACTCTCATCTCCCACACGTACTTTGCCCAGTGGAGAGGGGACGCTCTAGTGTGCGCTAGCTCACGGTGGGGGCAATCGTACGCCTTGGGCTTTGACCGGAACACTTCTGTTGTAGTTACCAGACGTACAACGTACTCTGCACTCGTAGCACAGTCTCCGTTTGCCCAAGAGGCACGCTTTTCAGACACAGCGAAGTAACAACTGAGATGCTTGTTCATGTTAATATGTACCTGTGAGCACGTTTAGTGCGCCATTTTAGCGTGAGAAATGCAGGGCACGTTTTGATCTGCAAGTATTATTTCACGTGACTTTGTCATTTGTTGCTATTGCATCCTTTGCTTTGCCCTTGCGGCAAAGCTGCAACTTTGTTCAAGACCACGGCCCCCCTAACGTCTGCTTGATTTTGCTACACTACAAATTCAAGGTTCAATTTAAGGACCAACTTCAAAAAATATTTTTTTTTCTCGTACAAAAAAATATTAGACTTCCTTTATTACTTGTCCTTTAAGTGCTTTATGAAACGCAACATCAAGACAATTTTCTCTTGGACCGCTTCAGTACCAAAGTTGTAGTCAAATATAGGACAAATCTCATTTTTTTCTATTTCATTATTTTTTCTGGAAACACTTTCCGTCGATTTCGCCCCTAAAACCTTTTGTACAAAAATACTCTTTCCTGAAAACCGCAATAATATTAGATTGCTTAATAAGAGTTTTAGATATCTCAAGAAAAAGTGGCGAACTTTCAAGATTTTTTGTTCTTTTTCAGAGATACTTTTCCGTATCTGTATTTCTGTATTGAGATGCATTTCTAAATTGTATCATTATCTCAGCAAAAAGTTGAGGCGTGATTCAATAGGAGAGGAAGGGATTTTGTGTTGTATGTCTGAAGACATGCAAAGGCGTGCCGCCGGTCGGTGATATACGAAGGACGGTGAAAGTTTTCCTCAAGCACGGTGTAACCCACATGGTAAAACACGCGACACTCCTGAAAGCAGAATCGTGAAGGCTTTGTTCTCAGCCTCTCCCAACACAGTCATGTTTCTCAAGTTTAGCGGAGCAAGCCTAATATTTTGAAAGCTGTCAAGCCATTTCCCCATATCGCGCGGATATCAATGCTTCACACTCGTTCAGTTCTCAAAGTATTTGGATGCCCAAAAGCAGTCACCGTAGTGCAGGTGTTGGAGACCAAAGGATGGCTATCTTCGCCGCACTTACACCTTCCCCTCCAGCGTCTCAAGACCACGGTGTAAGAATATGCAGGTGCTGAGGCATTACCCGCACATCGCTGAAAAGCGCAATCCTTAGCGTGTCCAGATAATGGTCGGGCCGTCATCAGTTATCTCCAAGCTTCTTCAGTGTTGTCGTAGATGGCGCTACGGCAAGCAGGGTTAGCCACTCGGCCTCGTCAACACACTCGGCAGAGACGTGCATGCTGCTAATCGTGGTTTGTTTTGTTGGCATTTGTTGTTGGCCACGCTGTTTTGAGGCAGGTTTTTCTTTTTTTTTTGTTCGCCTACGCCTAATGTTATTCAGTCGACGAAGATGACCTCAAATTGCTAAAAGGTTCTTGAAACGACTAAAATGTGTTTTGTACCGAATTGCTGTTCTGGCTTAGGACTTTTGCGGAGCGCGTGCTTCTCTTCAAGTTACCGCCTGACAGTGATCGTCGGACGGTGATCGTTGACATAAATATATGTATGCGCATCGTAACATCTAGCCATGAGCAACCGTATTCCTTTAGTGTGCTGTACATAAATTACTTGCGTATTCCAAAGGTTTATATATTTATGGAACAACTGCATCGCTCTTCGGTGCTTGATATAGAATACTTACGCGTTCCAGATGGTTTTTTATAATGTATTGCCAAGGAACAAGAACGCATGGAACAAGCGCAACTACGATTCGGCGACTTCCCGTGTAAATTAAAGCAGTGATACGCATCAAATACGTTTCTGGGGCATTAAGAATTCTCTTTTATAGAGGGGTAATAATTAATAATGGGAGTTTACGCGTCAAAACCATGATTAATTACAAGGGACTCCATTATGCAAGCCTCCTGTCTCTGTATAATTTTGACCATCCAGGCTGTTTACCTTGCACCTACAATCAAGCACCTTGAAGTTCCTTGCATTACTTCGCAACGGAAAAGTATTTTGATGGAGAAATAGCACGCTGGCTAATGTTTTTTTAATTATTTATCGTTGCATTGAGCAGTACCGTGAACAGACGAAAATACTAGTGCGTGTGAGCGGAACTATCTGTATTGACGATGTTCACAACCTGCACAGGACATTTTCGTTTCAATGAATATTTACACCTGGTTTATCTTTCAATGTTTTATCTTTTAATGTGATATAAGAAATTTACTTCATGCTTTGAGTGTTTGTCATACCGCTTTGAACGGAAACGTGGGGGAGGTTGAGGAATTTCAATGCGCCAGCACCACGTCAGTGGGTACTTTGGCTGTGGCGCCATCTGAGGGCTCAGAGCACAGTGCGCCCGCGAGACCGAGCATTATCTGGCCGCTCAGGCATGCTCATTGTGTACACGCGTATATTCAGACACTATGGTCAAGAAGCATTCCTTTCTTATTTGCAAGCATGAAACAGCTTTACATGATACGTTGCATCTCGGTTTCCGGAACTTCCTCTAACTGTCGCAGATTGCTGTATTGGGTTTTAGTGTAACAGATAGTGGCGACAGCTTTATTTACGACTGAGCTTTTAGGCTGAGAAAGCGAGTGCTTACTAGAATATTTGTGCGGGCGTTCTAAGCGACTGTGCCTACTCGCACACCTGTTTTCAGTGACCTGGTTCGAGTGACCTTATCCTCTCACCACCAAAGAACGCGATTTCAGGCAGCCTATAATTGCATTCTGCAGTATTTAAATACTTCGTTCTATTGCACGTGGGTAATTATGGTCCCCGCGTGGGTCACGTCATCACCACGACAACCCTTAGCCATATAACCCGGTACCGGTAGGCGCAAACTTCTTTGTGTATCAAAGTGTTTACGAAATTTGGCTTATCAACGGTTCGAACATACCCAAATGAAGGCGGCATTCTTTTGACACCCAGGTGATAATTGAAAAGATATTGCCATACCGCAGGATTATCCGTCTATGCAGCTGACACATATTTTTCATGCAAGAATTTGTCCTCGCATACAGCGGTAGACAAACGTTTTTTATAGAGGTAATCTTTAGTTAAGGCCTACCAATGCTCACAAGAAAATTATTTTCGGAGATCCTGTAACTTAACTGCAGTTGACGCAGAAAAATTCTCCGCAAGAGAAATTATATGAGCAGAATGCATAGGTACTTCTATTTAGTTCTCTGGTGCTAGTTAATGATATGGTTGATTTGCATGAACTGTGCTATTTATTACATAGCTCATTCTGTTGTCACCAAATATATCCATTTTGGGGTCAAATGCTTGTGACACTTGGTGCCATATGGTATACTTTTCCTGCTATTATTACCTATAATTATGTCAGTAACAAGTAGGTACCTTGCACCCTCCGTCCCTCCTGAAGGTACCGGGATAATTAATCCAGCAACATACGAATGAGTAGGGCTAACACAATAAGCAGAGCTGAAATTTGATTGTGGTGTAGAGCATCCTTGCAATAATGTAATAAATTGCTGTATCTCCATATGGGATTCTTTTTGCGTGCTTGCGCAATATACATTTCCGAAATGTCACGTTACGCCAGAGGCAAATGTATCCCAGTGCCAGTAATTTAGGTCTAAACCCTTGCATTTT